CAACCTTGTCTCCGTATCATTCGCTGCTGCCCACCGATCGTATCGGCATATGACATTCAGCGCTCGTAGGTGAAGCATTCCATGGATGAGTTCGAGAATACTTGATCGATGCTCAACGGCAATCGACAATACTTCGCATTGGCGGCCGATTGGCGAACCACTCAATATCGTACAATGTTCACTATTGTAGTAATGATTAACATTCTGCAACGTTAATCGACGGATCGCGTTATGAACATATTGATAGGGTGGCACGAGAGAAGACATTGGTGTCCATTTGTCGAATTGCAATGATGTAAGACATGGCACTCTGTCGAGTAGATCTTGTAGTTGAGATGGATTGAACAGTGGATGCTCGTTGTCATAGTTGGTGATACGGATGGAAACTAGCCGATCAAATCTGATAATGACAGAAGACAAGTTCGCATTCAAGGAAAAGTCTACATCGAGATGACGAAGTTCGGAAAAACGGAAACAAGGTAATATTTGACCAGTCGACGGAGTAAGTGTAAATGCTAAACTTCGAACTCGATGATAGGACGACAAGTCATCATCGTGTGGATAGGTCGATTGCGAACGAAACTCTCTGTGATGGATAAAATAAAACTCGAGCCAGTACAGTAGTGTGTAGAGATATAGATTGTTATTATCGCATTGTTTACATCGATCCCAATCGCATCGAACAAACCATTGATGTGTGTCGAGCCAAAATGGTGTTCGAAACGAATCTAGTAGCTGATTAGCACGATGTTCCTTGTCGTCATTATCGCTCAGACGAAAGATCATCATTAACCGAAATATTTTCAATTTAGACAAGTGATCGACCATGATTCGTTGCCAGTCGTGCCCATTCATATTGATTTGATCGGTGTTCACTGTTAATGATATCAAATTAGGTGTGCTTCGCAAAAGATTCATCATTGTCGATGATGATTCGCTAACGAACAGTTTCAGTGTGATCAAATGTGGGAATGAAAATGTGAGCGTGTGATCTGATGAATCGTCATTGATCAACACTGACAGGTACCGAATGGATGGTGAATATTCGAGGAGACGTGTGAGCCGATTCAATGAATACGAATAGAAATCAATTGACAATGCTTGAAGCGTTGCAGAGCTTACCGATGGCACAATGATTAACGATCGATTGAAAAGGAAATATCCATGTGACAATGAGTTAGTTGGGGCAGACGCCAAATATCGTTGAGAGTATCAATAACAGTTTCGTATTCAGTTCGAAAACAACAGTCGATAAAATTGAGACGGTTTAAAAAAGGCAAACGGTAACATTCCATCATTAATCTGCAGAGGAGGCTAGATGAACGCAAATGACTCACGGTTAACGATCGCAATGCAGTTAAACGACGAATCTGTACATCACATGAGATAAAGCAATGAAATTGACCCGGTGTTTCATCATCGTCTGCCACATAAAGAGACAAAATTCGAGCGCTAATGTGTGGCAAGTATTGGTGGCAGACGATATCGAAATCGTGTTTCGAGACCGATCGTAAATCCAGACAGTACTTTGGAAAATATTTGAAGAGAAGCACATTGAAACGAGTATTGAGACCGTAAAAAGCCCGAAATAGATCGACGAGCGATAAATATTCCAAAAGATCAGTTAACAATTCGTTAGCAAATGATTCGAAACTCATGAATTTTGAATTTGACGTCGTTGCTATGAAACAATAATCGGCTCTATGAAAAACACGCACCACATGCACCGTATTGGTATCTTTTTTTTATTTTGTCGTCAAATAGCAGAATAAATATATATTTCTTTATCAGACAATGCATCTTCTTACGTTGTTGGTATCAGAAAAAAAGAGAAACGTGCCATGCGGCAGTATTTGTCAAACAATATTTGTCTTGTGTAGCAGAAACGAAACAAGAACGAACTATGCAACATGATGCTATTAACAGGACATGAGGCACTCTAATGGAAAGATAAATATCAAGTTGTCGAATAACGAATCCCTCGATCGAAGCATCTACGTGAGTGACGTAGCAGTCAGTAGAAATCGTTGGATTTGGGTGTTGATGAAGGCTAGAACAACACTCACACGCTGTGCTCTTTTATTTATTATATTATCTTGGTTACATTCGAATGTGTAAAATGCAGACAAATTGTGTTTGAAGGCAGATTTCCGACAGCTAGATACAAGCATTGAACTTTACTGCTAAGACTATCGACGATGTTGGAAATCTTCACATAGACATGTATGGAACTGTAACTATGCATCAGTGCAAAGCTGCTACGAAACCTAATTAAAAAGAATAATTATTAGTATCGAATTAGATTCGTTTAACATTTTATCCATTAGAATCCCATATCTTCTCAAAAGAGACACTTTTTCGAATAATATCCAACTACTTAATGATTAAGTAGCTAATAATTCATCTAACTAAGTACTTAAAGTTTAACGCTATTTAAAAACTTATCATAGCTATTTAAAAGGTGAAATTGATACTTTGAGAAAATTATTCGGCTAGTGAATGATTTAAATAGCTGATTTATTTCTAACAAAACTTTGTATTGTACTTCTTCGTGTAACTAGCTATTGAACATTTATCATTATTTAAACATTACAGTAACTATTTAAACATTTTGCATAGATAATTACTAAATGATCGAAATGGTTGCCACTTTCGTAGCGGTATTTGGTTTAGTGATGTGTAATATATTACGAGCGGTTGAAGCCTAACGTTATTACATATTATCGCAGTCATTTTTAAGATTCGAGAATCATTAAAGAAGACGAAAGATACATATTGTAAGTACTTGAAATTGTCACACTTAAAACTTTTAGAAGCATTGTTTTTTCCTTTTTTCGTCATCGCTCAATAGAAACGGGCCAGTTACATCAGAAAAAAGAGTATCTTGCATATTTAAAAACGGTATTATAATAGACAGAAGTTGGTGCCCATTATTTTTACATTTCAGAATAGTTTTAAATTAGATATTTTCAGAAAATTCTTTTTACATATGTATGATATTATTCGTTTCTCGAGTAACTCAGCGAGCTCTATTCAACCATGATATAAAAAGAGAAAAAGGCAATACCTAAAATTTTAAAGTGTGATCAAATGGGGGAGTGTTAATTGACCGAAAGGCAAAAGATCGAAGGGAAAAATCTCGAATAAAAAAATCTCGAAAAAAAATATTTCGAAAGAAAAAAATCTCGACCAGAAAAAGTCCGAAAAAAAACATCGAATCGGCAAAATCTCGAAAATTCATAAAACAATCAATAAGAGTAGATTTTTGCTGAAAACTACTTTTCATTACAATGGTCCCAGCCGAGCTCCACTGACTTATGAGTCACATTCCTTCAAGTGTCGATGTCGGTTTGAACGGATTTTCGAGCGTGAGTGAGTTTGGGTGTTGATCTTGATGATAGTAGGCCTGGGTGTGAGCCGTTAATCCACTCACATCCAGTAATCACACTTGACACCGACCTTCATACTCTAGCCGTCAAGATCTCAAAATGCAGAAGTTGATTCGTAAAGAAATCTTTGAAGTTTACTGTTACTTACCAAAAGAAAAATGAAAGCGAAGAAGGGATTTTCGAAACAGTGCTGAATTTTTTCTTATGATCATGCTACTTAGCACTTTTCTCTTGTGCTAATTTTACTCTCTAGCTACAACGGTAAAACGCTGCATCATAGCCGATGATGTATATGTATCCTCTTTATTTCCACGTTTTGATCCTTTTTCAACAAACTTATGATTAATAAACCAAGTATCTAACAAGTACTCGAATTGTTTTTACATTTTAGATTTTCGAGATTATTTTTTTCGAGATTTCCGATTTTCGAGATTTTACATGTTCGAGATTTTTCCTTTCGATCTTTTTCCTTTCGGGCAATTAACACTGATTCGATCAAATGACATAAACTACTCATCCCTCAAAATTCTGAGTTTATTCATAGATATATTCAATATGTGGTTACGATGTTTACAAGTCTCTCGAAGTTTCCTACTAGTATGATTTAGCCAATATTGACGATACATCATCGAAGTGAACAGATCACAATGGCAAACAACAACAGAACAGCTGGTATGCTGTTTGTTCTCACTCAAGTGCTGTCATAGTATTTCTTCATTCAACTGACGAAGAAATGACACGCGCTACTAATAGTCACACATCAGTGCTTGAAAATAGTATATCACTATCCAAACCTACTGCTGAAATAATAGCCGATAAACCTTTAGATACTTCTTCATTAGCAACTAATGATAAGATGAGTGTTTGGCAGACCGACGAATAATAAATAGAACAATTTATTTTTATAATTATTGTAAGCTTTTGACATACACAATAAAGCTAAGTGGCGTGATGAATGCTCTTTTTTTTATTTTGAACAAGATTTTAATTGTTCTTACGGTATCCTCATATTCTTGCTATAGATTTTTGTCTATCCCGCGATTCTTAACGAGAATCACATATTAATATAATGTTTATGAACATTGGAATTACAATTTTTCATATAAGATTTGAACCTGTTGTCTTTGAAATACACATCTGAATATCTTCCATAATGTATGCCAGAATATAAGAAGAACATGTTTGATATTCTGCTTAATTCGAACTACAGAGTATTCGCATTATGTTTCCTCTGAGTTTATTACAAATTCTTGAACAATCATGAAGTTGTTGGATTCTTTTTCACTATTCTTATATGGTTCATTCTAAGTCGCTGTTCTTTCATTGATTATTTGTAGAAGGTATGAACAAAGAAAAGATTTTACACTATTTTCTGAAGCGCAATAATGATTACTTACATAGTCTTATGCAAATATCAAACGATTTAGATCGTCAGGGAAAAACTTTCTTAGTCCTTCGATCAGAAAAAAACATTTTTTGTATTGTAAATCAAATTTATTTTTCTAAATACATTTATACAAAACAAAAAAAAAAGGAAATATTCTCTGAATAAAATTTAATGTACAGTACACTTCAATCTTAAACTATCGTCTATATAAGAAGGTTGGCATGCTACTCTTCTTCTTTGGATTTATTATTCCAATCAATCTGAGCTGTTTTCATCAATGTTATCAAGCCAATGGGTAAATTTTCACTATCAATAAAATCTAATTGATTAAAAGTTGATTGAATTTGTTCACCATAATAAAAGAGTAACCATTCTAAGTAGCTATCACTATCTTTATTCATTCTACGCTGCTTTCTAGATGCCATTCTTGTATTTTTATCTCGAATGACTTCCATATGATCTGCAAAACTGTTCGTCAAAGTAGGTGATAACGCCGGAGTAATATCTAACATATTTGTGTAAACACCTTCCCAGTGCGAAAGTTGAGTTTCACGACCTTGTATATATTCGTCAAAAGTTATGAGTGTTCCATCATCGTGAATAAATTCTTCAAGGAATTTAAATTTTTGATGCTTCTTTGCTTGTTTGTATTCAACTTCTATATCAGCATATAGTTCAGCATCTTTAGCTAGTAGCTGATCAAAAGTGGTGATCTTTTTCGATATCAAGCATTGTTGAACACTGTATAAAGTAAGATAGATATTTTTCAAACCTAAACCCCCCTGTATCCAGGGCCAATAGAACCATGCTTCACAAATGTCATCAGTCAAACAACTAGGAAATTGTTCAACAATACGACTTGTAAGAATTAACAAAGCATTGCCATTTGTTTCAGGAAAGATATATCGATGAAGATATTGAAATGTTTCGATTATATGTTCAATATGATATGCACCCAAAATGTTAGCACATTGACCAAAATTACGCATGAAAAAAGATATATATTTGTTGTATAAATTTACCCATTCTAAAATAGTTGTTGCATTCGTTAATCGTATTTTCATTTCATCAAGAAATGGTCGAATTGTTTCTTGATATATAGTAAAACGACCAGATGATTGTAGAGTAAGCAAACCCCATTTAACATCCTTACGAGGGAATATAGCATTTGTTGACAGTTCATCGGCATGACTTGTCATGTTTGATGGTTGAATTTGTGTGGAACCACATTTTTCTTCATTAAATCTAAGTCCAATCATTTGTGTATATTCATTCATCAATGTCCAAGCTTGTTCAATTCTCGCTGATTGAGAATTAAAAAACCAAATATCATCATGAAGACGATAAATGAAAATATTAGTATTTTGATATATATATAGGTCTAAACCGAACAAAAGTAATTCAGCAAATAGATGAGAAAGTGAATGTGAAATTGGTACACCACGTTGACGTTGACGAATGAGCTCATCGGGTTTATAATAAACTGGTTGTTTGAGAAAACGATCAAAAAAATCAAGCCAAATTTGAGACATACCACAAAATTCAAGAAATATGTGAACTATTTCATGTGAAATGGATGGTCCAAACCATTCAAGATCAGCTGACACAACAGTAAATGGTGCATTTGGTTGTAAGATTTTATGTAATTGAATTTCTACATTGATTAAATAGAATAATTTTGATTTTAAATTAAATTTATCCATGTTTGCGTAATAAAATGCATCTGAATTATTATTCAATCCGTCCGGTAGTGAAGCCATCCAATATTCATCTTCTTGAATTAGACATCGTTCGTATTGAATGGATCTTGATGAACAATTGTCTCGAGACTTTTTATTTAATACTCTGAAAAGTTTTTTTAATTCAAGCTTAAAATGATAACTCCATTTTAAGCCTAGGTGTTCAAGAAAAATAGCAGTAAGAAAATCTTCTTCATAGAAACACCGATATTTTCCGACTAAATTTCGACGAAAGATTCCACGTACACCATTGATAGGCCAGTTCCAATCAGTTAGGTCGGATATTAATAAATTTAATGATGATGCAAATTCATTGACAGTATTTTCATCTAATCGCATTTTTGTTAGAAGTCTTTTTCGATATTCATCTAATGAATCATTACTTATAAGACTGTCGATAGCTTGTCGTATATCATTGTATGAGACTTTTTCTTTCAATAATAATTTTCCATATTGTTCTGTTGAATTTTTAAATTTTTCGAAAGCATCCTTCAATTTTGCATCTTTATCAAAGAAAGAAAAAAGTTTATTTTGCAGAAAATGACGCCATCTATCTAAATCTAATTGTGGTCGATTAAAAATAATTTTTTCTAAATGTTCATTAGTTAATAAACTTTCACTGGTCGGTTTCATTTCTACTGTCGTATATTCGTTTTTCTGTTCTGATAACCATTGAGACATGATTAAGCCAAATAAATAATTGTATTCGGAACGTTTTTTACCACCAACAATCACTTTCGTGAATTGTTGACGAAAATTTTCTAATACATTATTCGATGTTGATGTATTGACTTTGGCTATGGTCAATAATGGATCAAAATTTTTCAAATATCGTTCTTTACTCGCTTCATCAAATAATCTTTCTACACTTTTCTTCAGCATGTAAACTTTATCATACAGTGATATTGCAGAATCATTGTTCTGTTTCATTATTTCAATATGTTCTTCATCAAACTTCTTTTTACGTAATTTGAAGCGATCTAATTTTAATTTTGTCATTAAACTGAGTGCTTCACGATCAGGTGGTATGAAAACCGATGTTGTATTGGTGGTTTGTGTAACCAATGACATTTCTTTTTTCAACTTTTTTCCCTTTGTATCGTAATAGTATTGCTACAAGCGACACACTGCTTTTTATACTATCGACTTGCGTAATGTTTCGAAGTTACATAGATATTTCATCCTAATGAGTAATATTTGTTAATCATACTAATGGGACATGACCATGAGTAATGTATGATAAGTGCAACTCGGTCATGTATAAAAGAGCCTGTTATCGCAACCTCTGCAGAGCAAAATATGAAACGCAATGTAGGTGCAGTTGCTAACCACAGAGAGATTATTTTATTGTATCTATTTCGAGGCATATTTTTTCATCATCTTTTTGCCTAATCCTCCAGAAATGCTTACGGTCTGAGAGGAGAGGGTAGGTTTCTACCGCTATACTTTCACACTCCTTTTATATCGTTTTTCACAAAATATGATAAAAAAACACTTGTACAAGTGTTCAGAAATATAATTTACATTAAATTCAAGAAAGAAAAGTATGAACAGTAAGCGTTCTATTATATTTATTTTATGTCTACTAACAAAAGCAAAGCAAACGATTCTTATTGTGTTCATCTCAGTCTTCTGATGACTTTACTATACTGACTATATCAGCCATAGATTAAGTAATGCTCGATGCTTTTTTCAAGTTTCGAAATTTATGAACATAAGATATTTAGTTGGTTCAACTCTTTTCGTACAACTTGCTACATTACAAGTTCAACTAACACTAATATCAAATATATGCATATGGTTTGGTGTATGTGGATGAGTCTGAGTTTGAATATGAAACCCACATGCGCAAACACACTTATCATCACACTCACACACGACATCAACGCCTCATACGAACAACTCAAACCAACATGACCTCATACCCGATTTTTGAAAACTAAATAATACATTATGTAGACAATTTCTGAAGCTACAAAATCTCTATGCACAACTTTTTCTCAGGATGCCTTCACTTTTCAAAAGCATTGATTTAGTTCTCGTTTGCAACCTGACGGAGTACGAATACAAAATGAAAAAGTGCTTCTATAATCGAATGATAAGTTCAAAACCAATTTCAAATGGTACAAATTCTTGCTCAAAATATCTAGATGATAATACGAGAACTGTTTTCGTGGCACTTAGCAGAATCTTTAGAAAGTCAGTTTTTCAGAGGTAACTTTTCGAAGTTCGATCTTGCTGATAATTTTCTCATCGATGCAGTTCGTGTCGTAGTCTATCCTAAAGTTTTCAGATTTTTTTCTTCTATGGTTAGAGAGATATCCACTATTTACTTTTTAATGAATGTAAACTACCTATCAGCTGAAAGAGTCAATATTTGTAGATATGTCTATGCTATAAGAATTAATTCAATAGCATAGCTCTTTTAAAGAATCAATGTCAAATAAAAACTAAGCACGTTCCTTTCTTTCCTGAAATAATCCATGTATATATAAATTTGTTTTATATCATAAAGAATACAAATCACAACCAAATCATTTTCTTGCTCACCATAAGCATTTAACTGCGCTATATGTTAGCTTTTCGATTGTTTAAATGTTAATCAAAAATGTTTCATGAAAAACGAACATTATTAGAGATATCAGTCACCCAGATTGTAGGATATGGTCCGTATGCGATCGTTTACAGTTAATTTACAGCACATAAACAGACGGTACTCTGTCGTAATATCTGACGCAGAAATACTACCGTATTATTATGAGAATAAGGCATCGCATACGACGCCGTCATACAGTGTCAACGATTGCAAGAAAACAACGATCAGTTTACGTGCCGTATGAAGCAAAGTCGCGATGAAAATGCAGATAATTGTATTCATCGACTTGTGTATCTAAGAAAATAACAATGAGATTTTATTTTGTTGCTTATATCACCACTCCATCGATTACCATTTCGAAACCGGTAAAGAACTCATCGTATTTAGGAGTCGCTTTCTAAGAAAGTACAATAAAACATACTCTTTAAACGTTTTTAAAAATCAAATCCATTATATTGACAGAAAACCATATTCAATCGTTTTATTTTCCTTGAAAAAGACTATTGTTATAAGAAGAAAACTTTTCATTTAGTTTGGCGATATCTCTTTTATTATCTGTCTGTTCGACTTTATTTTTGCCTGAAAAAATTCATCTTTTATTTTCTATTAATGCACGTCATACATCATTTCTAAAATAGATTTTTAAAAAAACCGATCCGAGAAAAAGAATTTTGTAAGGCAATTTGTTGTCACATTTTACTAAATGAATGATCGTGGTTTTCACTATCAGTACTTTTTGATGCTTTATCCATGTGCTGAAAATATATGAGAAGCAGTATTTTCTAATAAATCAAATCTTTTTCATATTTAAAACTCTGGAACAAATAGCGTTTGGCAAAGGGTAAATCGATGGTGTGGGTATGGAATGCACATGTGAGAGAATAGATAGTCCACACCCATTTACTTGAAGTGTTTAAACATCATTTCGTACTTATGCCTCTCTCGTAACAGAACTGTAGATATTAGACTTTTTTTTGTAAAGTTCCTTAGCAAGAAAAACAAAAAACGCTGAATGACAATAGCAAACCTTATACTATTCTACAAAACGACAAACACGTTTTTGAAACCAGTATTGAAATATTTATAATTTTAGCTCGTCAGTAAGCTATTCTTGAACACTTACATTTTGTTCGTCAAACAATATCCGAAATGTTTTTATTAATCCAGCAAGTTGAGTTTGATGAGATTCGAGATGAAACTCAATTATTAATATGAAATTCAAAAAGAAAAGCTTGTTAGAGCAGCCTTTTTGTGGCTGAAATGTGGAACTCACATATGTTTTCTATCCGTATCAAACTAATACAAAATACGTAAAATAAAAAATCTCTGGTAGATTATAATTGTTTTGCAGAATAATCGAACATTTCAGTAAGAACATTTCTAATTCCTACATTTCGACCATAAGTTTTTTATTTTTTCTACGGACACCCTATGTTTATTTCCATTGTTGCTATTCACTCATTATTTTTCAATTCGTTTTTCTTAATTTAACATTCTTATTATTATAATCATTGAATTAATTGACAAATATGTTTGTCTTACATATCCATGGTACTTACAGAAGGCCTTACGCACTATGATATATATATATTAATCAACTCACAAACAATGATGTTAATAATCTTTCAAAATTAAAAGCTTGATCAGTTTCGCAAAAGAACTCTAGAAAGTCTGAAGCCTATTATTCTCGATTGCTTATGGTTGTAATGGGGAGTTGTCTGTAAAGGAATGGGTGGAGGGGGCAGCGAAACTTCGACTTAAAACTTATACACACTATTTTCCTCCAAAATATGTTTGTTCCACAAAATAAAGATTTTATTCAATTATTTGAACGTGTTATTACTGATTTTTTATTTGCTTTGATATAGATTGCATATGCTGAATATCATATACTATATTATGTAGCATAAAATTCTATCGAATGTAAAGTTATCTGGATGTGCGTGTGGGTATCTGTATCTTTTTACCCATATCCACACCAAGATCTCATATGTGACTAGCTTGTGGTGCAATTATAATGATTCATATCCAATAATTGTAGATCAAGAAAAACAAAAGATCGTTTCGATCTACAATCAATCAATATAACTAAGCAAGTTTTTATGCTGTGCGATATTTGGACAAACCTAATCTAGCGATGAATTAATGGTTCGCTCTTTAAGCAGACATCTCAAAGTGTATTTTACAATGATATGCTTGAAGTTAGTCTACTGTTCTAGCAGACCATTGTGAGTCATTTTGTGGTCGAATGCGGAACATCGGTATATTTTTCTGATTCACAGAAATACGTTTAAATTTTGTCACAAACCATGCAACATCAGATCAGTGTTGACGACGAAAATGATAATGTTGAATACGACAGATCAGATGCCATTTGACGAAAGTATTCATTATCGTACAAAAGATTTTCCAGAGAATGTGTCTCAAGTTGTTGTTTATTACGCTAGAAAGCGGTCTTTGAGAGATTCATTTGCATAAAAGTATTACACAAATGTAGTGAGATGGTAGACATTACTTTCTGATTCAACATTATATTATCTGAACACTGACTTTTGTTGTTATTCTTGAAAGTTGGAAAAAATACTATTGGCCATGAAACAAACTACATCATTCTTCATTTTTGTGTCAAGTATTTACTATGTAAATAAAAACAGGTATTCAAGTGCATTGTGTACAGGGACATTGGTTTTGCATAAAAAGAGATAAACGAGTCGGTATGAACATCAATTAACTTGTCTCTCACTCTTGCTCAATAAATCATTTGATGCGAAAAAGAATTGTATCCTCGCCAAAGAATAACAGGGTCAATAGTGATCTCAACAGTTAAACCGAATAAATTCTTTCTGAAATCTGTCGTACTTTTCTAAATATTGTTAAAACAACTTTTCAAAATACACTATTCCAGCCTAATGCAGTTGGAACATATCTATCATGAAGCGTGAGACGAATTTCGGACAACGATGAAATTTTGCCGATACATGTTTTCAATTTTATGATGAAGTGTATCTGAGTTTGATAAAATCGTTTGCAATAGTTTTAAAGCTTTCAAGAAAAACTGTACGTGTGCTGCTTTCAAGAGCTAATTTTGCTTTGACTATGAATTTCAAAATTGAAGGCAAGGAAAGTTAAATTCAGAAAGAAGTGAGCAAAGTGCATAGTGGTTCTCTTTTTTTTAGTCTTCTCAGCTTTTACTTATTTCTTGCGTCACTAATTTCGACAACTATCATACTTACCTCAAGTACAACTTAAATTGAGAACAAGGTCTTGGTCATCATTTGTGTGTGACCAACTAATCTATGAGACTGATCATTGTTATCTGCACATGCTTTTTTCTTCAATGAGAAGAGCGAGTGAAAGTCATAACGAATCACACCCAGTCTTATCCTTACCTTTTTGCACATCTTCAGAACAAAGGTCGATTTTTTTAAAACTTATTCGCGAACATTATGTAAATCATTTCAAGATTCAGTAAAAT